GGTACGCACGTCAGATTTGAAACGCCGGCCTTCGTGTCCCGAGCTCGGTCTCGCGGAGCTCGTTTTCTTAACTCTGGCAACCCCTCTCATGGCTTTGGCACTGCAGCAGTCCAAGAAGTAGAGCATGGACCCAAACGAAAACAGTGCCACATCGGTGTAGAACTTCTCGTTTTCTTCACTCTGGCAACCTCTCTCATGGTTTTGGCACTGCACCAGTCGAAGAAGTAGAGCACGGACCCCAAACGAAAACAGTGCCACATCGGTGTAGAACTTCTGGAAGTAGTGGGCCTCCTGGGGACAAGACCCTGCGGCACATGTGAACACCCTGTGGGCGGCAAGCACCGCCAACACAAGTCGAATGACCTCGCGCAAGCCCACGAGCAGTGGTGCCATCTGGCTGGATGATAAGTGCTACTCCAGATTTCGTAATAAAAGGGAGGGGGTCACAATCCTCCCAGACCGCAAGTTTTAGACCCCCCCAGACCATCCATGAAAGGGCGGCACTTTGCCCAGACCCCCCCCGAGCCCTCCAAGACAACTCAAATCAGACCCCCCCCCCAAATGTGACCCCCCCACTTTATTATGGAATCCGGAGTAATGATGTGGTATCGCGCGTTCAGTAGAGAAGTGCCCGCTTTGGATCAGAGCGGCTTGAGCGCCAACGGGTTGAGGACCGAAGACTCGGCTGCTGAAAAGGTCCTCGTCCCCTCTCCGTGGGCGCGGCGGCGAGACCTTCGCAGGGGCCAACGCCAGCGCAGCATGCCCGTCCACTCACGCCCTCATCCTTCTGCCTCCTCCCCCTTCCGCCCTGCTCACTCCTCCCTCCAGCTCCTCCCCCCGACTCCTCCCATGCAATCCCTCCCCTCCCGCCCTCCTCGACCTCCCCACCCATCCCCCCTCGTCGTGCGCTCTCCGTTCCGCCTTCGCCTTCTCCTCCTCCTCCCCCTCCTCCGCCCCCCACTTGCCGCTGCTCGTTTTGATTCCAACTCCCCGCCGTCCCCTCATTCATTCCCGCTCCATGCCCTTCTTGTCCTCTCTTCCCCTTCTTCCGTAGAAGCGTCCAGCTTTGGGCTCACGTGCTTCAACACAGGTCAAACTCCGTGCCCCGAGGCACAAAATGGAGCGTCCTGCGGGCCGCTTTGAACGCCATGCCGCCGCCGTCGCCGCTCCGTCGCCGCCTCGTCACCTGGGCCTGCGGGCCGCTCTGGCCGCCATGTGGCCGACGTCGCCGCCCCGTTGTCGCCTCGTCATACACATATTCTCCTTCCGAATAATAGAATACCCACCACCCCTCGAGGTCAGACTTGGCGGTGCCCACCAGCACAATGCGATTTGCATATGGTTCTGCCCCATCGTTGTTCAATTTCTAAATAAACTCATACCATCCCAGGAGGCCGGTATCGACCCCCGTCATCCCTGTCAAATAATGCCATGCGCGCGCATCCGCTTATCAAACATCGTCAACTTTCGAATGGTCCTTTACAACAGCCACGTAGACAACATCCACACGCGCGCGTCGTCGCGCGCATGCCCGAATCCTTTTACACACCTTGGGTGTGGTAGGGAATTCAAGATCGACGTTCCCGAACACATCTCACCAACAGCACATGGTTTGCCACGACGAATTTTCATGGGTATATATATACATTTGTATACACACACCTATATATACTAGAACCACGCGCGCGCGCTTCGCGGACACTTAGGTTCTAGCCGTGCTCGAATATCATCGCATATTGCCATTGGGTACTGCCAGGCTGACTCGGGAGTTCCCTGAAATCTGGTCATGGTTGTTTGTGGTAACCCAGAAGTCGTGTAAACAAATCTTTGGGGGCTTCCACGACGGGTCGTCTGGGGCTCAAAAAGATCAAACACTTAATAACTGGTGTGCCCAAATTTGACCGGGGCCTTCCGTGTATGATGATAGGTACATGTGTGTATACATACATGTGTACGTATGTATGGTTATCTATGTATATAAGATGTAAATCCGTATATATGTAAATATGTATACAGTCGGGGTACTACCGGAAGGAACGCCACATAAGGAACAAAGAGGCTTTTCTGGCCACGGTGGGCCTAGGCCACAAGCAAATCTCGCGACGTAAATCTCAGAAACGACCCAAATCCCCTAGCCCCATTCGAACCCAAAGCGGTCCTTCTTTCAGCGTCTTGGCTGTATGTATCTATAACTGCACCTGGTAATATGTAATTCTAGTTTTTATGCAATGCAGATATCGACAAACATTTGCCTTCGGACCATCCCGCCACGCTACCTGGGCTGTGCGTCAGAGGCCTGTTGGCTGTTCGTTGATACCTCGTGGGCAACCTCTCGGGAACCTCGTCGAGGGCGGCTGTGAAGCCTCTTGGGGGCCTTTTTGGGGCTCCTTGGGGCCTCTTTCGGGCCTCTTGGGGGACCTTTTGGGAACCCTGAGGCGCGGGGCCTCGTGGGCCTCCTGGGGGCCTGAGAGTATGAAAGGCTGGAATTGTGGGTGTTCCCCCTCTTGGGGCCCTCTTGGGCCGCTCTGGGGCCTCTCTTGCGCCGTCTTGGGGGGTCTGTTGGGCCGTGTTGGGGCTTTCTCGAATCATCTTGGGGCTCCCGAGGGGTCTCTGACGCCGTCTTGGTTTCTTGGTCCTCTCTTGGGCTGTTTCGGGGCGGTCTTGGGCGCCTCTTGAGCCGTCTAGGAGCGTTGGAAGCCCGAAGCGATAAGAACGCCCAGATGCTTCAAACACCTCAGGAACATCTATCATTTTGTCTTCTTAGGGCGTTCGTCAGGGTCCTCTTGGAGCCTTCTTGGGCCGTCTCGAGGGCCTCATGGTCCGTTTGGAAAGCTTCTTGGGCCGTCTGAGACCACTGGAGGCCGTCTTCGGGGTGACTCGGCGCCGTCTTCGGCCGCCGGGACGGCTGCCTGGGCCGATTTGCAGCCCCCCAATAGCGGGCCCGGCCCCGAAGCGCTTCGCAAAGGGTCGCCCCCCCCCGCCCCCCAGGACTGAAAAGGGGACCGGAGGGCGTGGGGGGAGCCTTGAAGGAGTGTGCCGCCCCCAGAGCCAGGGGCCCCGTTTCCCGTTGTATGATATATTCGCCGGCCCCCTGTTGGTCTGCAGGCGTGTGAGGCGTTCCCCCACGTACTGCCCCCCACCCCAGGACTCCAAACTGCACGTCCGACCCCCCCCCCCAAAGGCTCGGCGCGACCCCCCAGGTGAACTCACCAAGGGGTGGCTGGCCCTTCCTGGGATCCTCTGGCGGCTCCAAGACGGCCTCTGAGGGTTCCAAAATTATCAAGAAAACCTTAGTCGACCCCATTGCAGCCGTAAGAAAGCCGAAAGAGGCCCCTAACGGGGTCCAACTCGACTCCGAGACGGCCTGCGAAGCATTGAAAACGCCCCACGCGGGGTCCAAGAGGCTCCCCAAGAGAGCCCCGAAGGACAAGTAAATATTTAAAGGTCTTTGGCGCCTTCGCCCGTCTAGTTTCTCAACGCTCCTAGACGACTCAAGAAGACTCAAAGATCGCCCTCAGCCGGCCCGAGAGACCCCCATGAAGTCCCCGACCCGCGGGAGCCCTAAGACAGCCCACAAGGCCTGCGAGAGGGTCCCAAGAGACCCCAAGAGGGCCCCCAAAGAGCCCAGAGATGGGTCCTAGAGAGGGAGCGCGCACTGACATTTCCACCTTTCCCCAAGATGGTGATCAAGGCCGGCCCCAAACATATCCGTCAAGAGGGCCACCGAACGCGCCCGAGAGTCCCCTAAAAACACCAACAGGCCCAAAAGTGGCCCAAAGAGGCCTTCATGAGGCCCCAAAGAGATCCTCAACAGAAGGCCCCTGAGAGACTCACGGGCCCTGGCCCAAGAGGCGCCCAGGAGTGCCCAAGAGGCACCCAAGAGGCCCCAAGAAGCCCCAAGAGGCCCTTTAATAGGCACCAAGATGCCCCAAAGAGGCCCCCCAAAGACCCCCAAGAGGTATAGAAACTGCCCCCACGAGGCCCCCGAGAGGCCTCCCACGAGATCCCAACGAACATCCATGCCCACAACCCAGGCACGGTGCCAGGATGGGCCGAAAACTATTAAGACAGGCACGAGTCAGTCGGAAAGGAACACTTCACCATCCTGGGGCATTCTCCTGACCCCTTGGGCGAGAAGGTGCCCGTTCAAGCAGGGACTCCATCTCATCTGGGGCCAACGTCGAGCAGCGGGGCAGCGGCCGACCTGCCAAGCGAAGCCGCTTGTCCCCCCAGGAGTGCGCCGACACGACACAACAGACAACACTGGGGAAACCATACGCTACTCCCCGGACCTTTCCCGGAGTGCGCTCTGACCATGACTTCGGGGCGAATCCGGCAGTGGCGACGAAGGGCCCTTCCCAGGAGGTCCCCCGAAAGCGAAAGCAAGAGAAGGGTAGCGGTGTAACTGCATTTTCCTTCTCTGAAGCTGAGTGGGCGCAGGAGAGGAGGAGGAGGAGGAGGAGGAGGAGGAGGAGGAGGAGGAGGAGGAGGAGGAGGAGGAGGCTGGAGGAGGAGGAGGAGGAGGAGGACTGGAGGAGGAGGAGGAGGAGACTGGAGAGCAGGAGAGGGGGAGGAGCAGGCGGAGGCGCACGGAGGAGTTTGGTTCCCCCCTCGCCCTCACGCTTGAGGGAAGCCCTCTGGCGGCCTCTCCGCCTCCGCCCGCCTCCCTTCCCCCTCCCCTATCCGTCTCCTCCTCCTCCTCCTCCTCCTCCTCTTCCCTCCTCTTCCCTCCCCTTCCCTCCCCTTCCCTCCTCCTCCTCCGCCTCCTCCTCCCTCCTCAGGCCTCTGCCCTGTACCCCCCCCCCCTTCCCCCTCAGAGGGATGAAGGGGGGAGGGAGCGAGCGAGCATGGGAGGGAGGGAGGGGAGGGATGGGGCGGGCAGGACTGAGAGGAGAGGAGGGGAGAGGGGAGGGGGAGGGAGGGATGGAGAGGAGGGAGGAGGGGGAAATGGGGCCAGGGGGGAAGGAGAGAGCGAGGCAGGGCAAAGACGACGCCGTCTCCTTCTCGCTGTTCAGCCTCTCGACGTCGGCCCGGAGCCGGCGGAGCTCCTGCCGCCGAGCGCGGGGATGAGGGATGACGGCGACGGCGAGGGAGGGGGGGGGGAGTGGGAGGAACACGGGGTACGAATGAGATCGAGATCGAGGAGTTCGATCGGAGGAAGCATCCAATGCCAAGTCCAATTCCCCCCTCCCTCATCGCCGTTGGGGGTTTTCCCCAGGGCAAGGTCCGTCAACACCGAGTCGGGAAATCGCGGCGGATCGAAGTGTGCACGATCGGGCCGCCTCGGCACGGAGCCGGGATCGAATCGGGCCTCGGCCGCACCAGGAAGCACACCTACGCTGTGCGAAGACATCGGCCCGCATCGGATCGTCAGAACTGGCGCCGAGATGCCTGAGTCTAGGTTGCTGTTTCATGCCAGACGCCGCGCCGTCCAGAACATGATCCGCACGGCCAACCTTCGACTGAGAAGGTCAAGCCAGCCTATGGCATCGAGCCGGGCTCTTCACGAGCGCACGCTGGCGATTTCCCAGCGGTGGAGCCGCGCGTGCCCGCGCACAGGAAATCTACTCACTTGATTATTTGATCCCCCGCGTCAACTGTCGGCACGGATCGAATGGATTGGACTGGCTCGAATCGATATCGGAACGGATCGACTGGATCGAAACGGACTCCTCAGCAGGTCCCACAGGGGTCGACGACCAGGGGGGGGGCAAAGGAGCCGCGAGCGAGAGGGGGGGACGGGGCTCGCGGGACGGCGCGGTGGTGGCCTGGAGCCTTCACCGCGGCGGCTCGGACGGGGGAGGGGAGGGGATGGGGAGGGAAGAGGAAACTGGAGGTCAGAGGGTTCCCAGGGGGGAGAAGGAGGAGGGCTCCAGTGCATGCAGGGGGCGTCTGGGGATTGCTCCTCCTCCTCCTCCTCCTCCTCCTCCTCCTCCTCCCTGTCCTTCTCACCAGCCTTCCCCGCCTTCTCCCTCCTAGTATCCTTCCTTCTCTTTCTCTTCTTCTTTCTCCACCTCTTCATCCTCCCTCTTCTTCGTCTTCAAGTCCTTTTCCTTATACAAAAGTCTTCCCCCTGGCGCACCCCGAGGCAATTTTTTAGAGCGTGCCCGCCGTTTCGCCTGAGGCTTCCTCGCCACTTAAGACCCTGAAGCTTACAAATTGGCAACCGTTTCACAGATGGAGCCGCGCGCACTCGTTTTTAACTTTGCAGGAGTCCCACGGATTCCCAAGAACAACGTACCAGATATGGATTGTTGGAAGGGTGCAAGATTTCGAGGGCGCAGCAGTGACGTTGATTCGAAGTGAAGTTCCAAGAATGGCGTTCTGGCACGATTCAAGATCGCCAAGACGCAACAATCAGGTTGATCCGCGGCGGTGGAATCCCGAAGCCAATGTTTTGGCATGCTTCGAAGTCTTCAAACGATTGTCTTCCAGGGAGGCAATTCCCTGTGGAAATGATCCGTTGTAGAGGCCTGTGAAGAGGGAGTTTGGAAGGAGGGTTTATTCCAACATCTTTGATAAAATTTTGGTTTACACTGGTCCTCCTCCTCATTGTCGTCCCCCCTTCATGGTGAGATTACGGAACCACGAGGCCGCGTTGCTGCATTGAGAAATGGAGACGCCTGTCGTGTACCGTACGTGTGCCCCTTGGAACACGCCCCGCAACTCGCTGAGGCCACGTCCAGTTCCCCTGGAGGGAAGGAGGAAACAATGGGACGTGGACGTGGTGGAACGAACGGGGGGACACAACCCTGGGCAAATGGGGGGACAACATGCCACGACCGCCGTGCATGTACCGCACGTGACCAACCGCAGACGACGAACCGTGGCGAGGCGCAAGGACAACGCGTTACGTTTTTTGGGCGCCCGAATGGGCACAACAAACGTGTGCACGATACACAACCGCAAATGTTGTCCAACACTTACAGCTGATGCTCTCGGGCAGGCGGCCTTCTGCATCAAATGGACAACGCCCGCGGCTACACTGACAACGAGTCTTGGTCAAAAGTGGACAGGAAATGCTGTCGGTCGTCGTCCTGTATTTCCCCCGTGCCCACCTCGATCGTTCCGAAACAAGGCGCTACGTTCCTCATCCTATCTCTCCTGCGGAATTCTCCTCTGTGGGCAAACGCGCTCCACTACTCGCAACGCTGCTGCTCGCAAGTGGCCTGGCTCCGCGGCGGGGCTTCTACGATATATTACACAAAAGGGGTACCATGTTTTTGTTCGGGCGTTTGCGAGTAGGCACTTTGCGAGTACGGTGGCGGCGGCGGCGATGCGGCGGAAGGCAGAGAAGGGGACAGAAGCAGCAACGCATCCACTGTTGGGAACGACGGCGCCGGGAAAACGACGACGGGACGATGAAACCCGCGCGCGAGGAGGAGGAGAGGGGGGCAAGTGTGCGACATCGCTCGGAGAATAGCAGTGGGCGAAGAGGGAGTGCAGAGGACGGGGGGGGACGGCTGGAACTTGAATGGGGGCGGTGGCTAGAACAGCCTCGATTGGGCCGCTGAGAACGGGCCCTCGGGGCGAGGGGGACAGGGGGTGAGGTGGGGTAAATCAATGGAAACGGGCCCGGGCCGCGCGAAGCTACAGGCCGACTCGCCGCTGCAGAGGGCCACGTGCCACCCGACACTTCTGCGACCCAAGCAAGCTCTCACGTGGCTGCTGTGCCATCGTCGCGCGAATGCCGATGGCGCGGCGCCTTATGTGCCCCCGCGCGCCGATGACGTCGAGAGCGCGCTGCCGCGGTCTGCGCGGTTGCCGCCGCTGCGAAGTGCGAGTGAGCCAGCAAGAACGCCCCCCAAACTGCCGCCGACGACGTGGACCCTCTTATTCCTCGCCCTTTCCCCCCCCCCTTCCCCCCGCCCCCTCCGATTGCGTCCCCCCCCCTCCCTCCCCTCGCGCGCTCTTCGCCCTGCCTGTCGCCCTCTCTAATTCGCGCCGTTGTTGCCCCTGGCCATCGGCGCCGCGACCCCCCGCGTCGACCCCAATCCACGGCGCCGCTCGCGCCAGGCCCAGCCCGCGCCGATTGCGCCAGCGCCTCGGGCAGCAAATTCGAGGGCGCCCCAAATATGCAAGATGGCCGCCGCGACTCCGGGCGGCGAAAGATTCCCCCGGGCTCCGCGCCAGACGCCGGTGCAATCGCCGCGGAGCCTCCGACCGGCGCGGACCCCGGGCGGCCAGGGTGCGTTCGAGGCGCACCGAATTGCGCCAAACATGCAGCAACCAAATCGGCCCCGCAATCGCAATCCCCGGGGGCATTCTGCGCGCCTGTTTGCAACGAATTAAACACTCAGCGGCCGAATTGGGCGAGACGAGGCGCCCGCCGACTCCGCGCGGGCATTTCCCTGATATTTGCTCGCTGATTGTTTGCCTATCTTTCTGGAACAAATGCGCAAAACATGCGCGAGAAATGAGCGGCCGCGGGGCGCTTTTTTTCGTGAAAAATGCACCATGCATTTGCGACAATGAGCCCGCCCCGATCGGTGAAGATGCGAGAACATAAATACGAAATGACTGTTCCCCGGGGCAGCCGGCGGGGGCGAGGTGAAATGGCGCGACGCCCCCGGGAGGCCCGCGACGGAATGCGGCTGCCTCATGGTGCCCCTCGGCGGCGACGATAAGGGCGAATGGTCCAGGGGCGGGCATTGCGCGCATTCGCCCGGGGGCCTCTTGGAAGACGTAGATCATCAGCGCCCCTGGATACATGCATTGCTCTCCCCTGGGCGATTCGCCCCTATCGTCGCCTCTGGGCCATGCCCCCCCCCTGCCCCATGCGCCCGGGGGTGAAAAGCCCGGCCGCCTCCCAGCGCCAGGCGGGCGGGGGGGCGGGCGGGGGCGCGACGCTAGGCGAGGGGCGCAGTCGCGCGGCTCAGCAGATGACGTCTGCGCCGCGCCACCCGCCCGCGGCAATGCATCCAATAAAATTTCGCGGGCGCCCTGCGATAAAAATGCCGCGGCCCCGGGGGGGGGGCTCCAGCCGTCGCCCCTGATGGGGGGTCCACCGAAGCCCCCAGCGGCGGCGGCCGCGCGCGGCGCTCGCAAACCCCTCGAGCATTTGCCCAACCGGAAGCCGCAGTGGCAAAGGCTGCGCGCCCAACTTGCACACCCCTCGCACGCTTCGCGGCCCCGCAGGCGACTCCGTCGAGGCCGCAGCAGCAGCGGCAGCGCGCGGCACTTGCGCTCCCCAGGCCCCATCAAAGGCCCCGGCGGCATCAGCCGCGCGCGGCACTTGCGCGCCCCTCGCGCGTTCGATGGCCCAAATAAGGAGACACGCCAAAGGTCCTAGCGTCGGCTGCCGCGCGCGCACTTGGGCACTGCTCGCGCCCGCCCTGACCTCTGGCGAAGGCGCAGGAGGCGGCGGCCGCGCGCGGCACCTGCAGAAACCCTGCGCAAGTCGCGGCTCGACGGGGGGCCCGCCGAAGGCCCTAGCGGCAGCGGCTGGGCGCGGCGCATTTGCGAAACTGTCGCGCGTGTCGTGGCCCCGCAGGAAGCCACGCTGAAAGCCCCGACACCCTGCTGGCACCGCTCGCGCGGCGGCCCCGGCTCATTTCGACGCGCCCCTTTCGCGCGCTCCCTGGCCCCCAAAGAAATTCCACCAGAAAATGTGAACAAATTGCATATGGGCGGGCCCTTCGCCGATAATTGGCTGGGCGCGCACAGGCGACGCCGGGCCCCGCGCCGCGCCGATTCGCGGCGCGCCCCCGCGGCGAGAGACCCCAAAACCGAACCGTGGAAACCGATCCCGCGCGCCGCTGCAGGACGCATGATCGCCCTGGGCTGCCATGACAATCGCTGCGCGCCGCAAGCACCGCTTGCGCTTGGAGCGGTAACACTTTATAACATACGGTTGTTTAACTTACACGTGTCGAAAATATGTGGTTGCCCACCTTTTTTTCTTAACCTATTTTACGGCTACTTTGAAAGTATCCAACATGCCAACAACTCTCCATATTACCCGAAGAGGCCACAATCATTGAGTTTTGTTTAGTTGTTCGCTGATTGGGGCATTTTCTCGATCTTCCGACGGCCCGAGACGGCCCAAGAGACGGCCCAAGAACGGCCCAGAATACGGCTCCAAGAGGGCCCCAAGACGGCCAAAGAGGCCTCGAAGGCGCGCAAGATGGCCTCCAAGATAGCCCTGGAGCACCCCAACAGAGCCCCAAGTCGGCCCAGACAGGCTCTCAAGGCGGGTTCCGACGGCGTCAGCCGGGCCAGAAATGCCTTAAGACGGTGTGCATGGTCGGTGGAGGTCTGGTCTTCGTTTTGGTAAGTAAGTCTTGATGCGGTCGTCCCAACGATTGCGTTGACCACCGTACTGCCTCAGTCCCTGCTGACGTCGGTCGAAGTCTGGTTGCCAGCGTCGCACTCGTAATGCCAATCCCCCGAGAAACCCCAAAGGCCCCCACAAGGCCCAAAGAGGCCCCAAACATACCTCCAACAGGCCCCCAGGAAACTCCAAGGAGGCCTCAAGAGTGCCCCCAGAGGCTCCCAAGATGCCCCCTCCTCCTCCTCGTCGTGCTGGTCCTCCTCCTCAGCCTCCTTCTCCTGATCTTCCCCGCCACCCTCCCCCAAGTGTTGCTCGAAGGGTTTCTCCAAGGGCTGGGGTAACACATGGCCCGATAGCTGGGCAGAGCTCTTGCCATAACGCTCGACCACATTGGCGATTTTGAAGGCAGAGGGCGACGGTGCCGTAGGCGTCTTTGATGACGCCGACGTCTCAATACGCGATGATGATCTTCAGCCGCCCCCGTATGTTCCCAGATGCGCCTAGGCAACGCCGAGACGCACCGATTCGACTCTGATATATACAGTTATGATCGAGAGGGGGCCTGCGGAAGGGGGCGAAACCCTGACGGATAAACGCTGAATACCACGTAATACAGACAGCGGTTTGGACCAACTCCTAAGGAAACATGCGTCAATGAACCACCCCATCTTACACGAGGCCTGCCGGGGCGCCTGCTTGCGTAACAGCGGAAGCGCGGCTTCCATGTCAAGAGTCTGCGGCCATATTGCTCCGCATCTCCCGCCCACCGCGTCTTCACGAAACCGGTCTTTCGATCAGATTGTGCGGTGGCCAAATTCCTGAAACCTCAATCTGCGCACGTGGACTTCACTCTGGCTGTCGCTCTGTTGATGTACTCGGCCCAAGACTCTTCCCCGCCTCAACTGACACAGAATATTTACCAGGCCATCTTTCGCCAAGCCGCTGTCAACTTCCTTCTGTCGACTGCCCCTACGGTCCAACATTCGCTGTCGTAGAGAGCGGTAGGCGTGACGACCATATAAAAAAGGAAGCGTTTTCGTTTTAAGTATGAATGAGAGCAGCATGTATTTTTGAGTTTAGCACAGCATCTCCATGCTGACGGCTGTTGATTTACCTGCTCTGCTTCGTGATCTTGACCAACGCGTGATATTTTTGGACGCCCGAAATGGGTACCGAAAACATGGGTACAATGCCCAACAGCAAATGTTGTCCCAAACCGACAGCGGCTGCTGTTGGGCAGGCGGCCCTCTGTCTCGAATGGACACAGGCCGCGGCGGCGTGGACAGCGGATCTTGTTCAAAATAAACAAGATCCGCTGTTGGGTATAGTACCCATTCTTTCAGTACCCATTTCGGGCGTCCAGAATATTGGCCAATGCACGGATTCCTCCCCGAGTGCCTCTCAGTGCTCATGCCCTGGGCCATCTCCACCTGGTTCCTGGCAGCCTGCACGCTCGCAGGACTTTGGGCGCCAGCGTTTGTCACGACTCCTCGTCTTCCCCACGCGCGCGCAACAAGCCCATACTGAGCAGCCCCTTCTCTGCAGGTCAGCAAACATGTTTTGTCCACGTCCGCCCTACTCTTCTCGAGAATAATCACGTCATCTGCAGAACGAAGGATAGTGAGTGGGTAATTGCAGCGGCGCCCTGGAAACAAGAAAAACTGCCCAAAGCATTCATGACCCGTGTCCCTCAAGGCCCCTCTCCTTCATGGCGACCCTTTCCTGACACTGCAACTGCACTTGTTGCTGCGGACGTACGCCGCTTCCGCTGCCGCCCCGTCTCGGCACACGCCCCCGCGTACTTGCGCAAACCCCAGCCACGGCCCTGATGAGCGCAGGCGCGCGAGCCCCCGAGCCGACCTTCAGCGCACCGCCCACGCGCTTCATGCCCCGCAGGGGGGGCCCAGTTACGCCCGCAGTGGGCGAGGAAGGAGGAGGGCCTAGCCTTCCTGGGGCTTCCGGACTTTTGGTGTCCATGGGGGTTCCCACTAGGAGGCGACGATAGGGGCGAATAGCCCAACGGGAAGCAGTCCATACATCCCAGTGCGCCGAGCCCACGTCTTTGGCGTGGCTCCCTGGCGAATGCGTGCAATGCCCGCCCCCGGGCTATTTGCCCCCATCGTCGCCTCCGATCCCACCCGTGATCATCGAGCGGGTGGCAATGAAGGCGTGACCTAAGTTGGGGATGAAGAGAATTGGCTGCCCCAAAAGGGAGTCCAGCTGAGAGGGGATGGTGCAATAGGTTTGAGGCACTTGTGTTGCAAATGGATTGCATCAGATGTATTGCGCGCGAAATCCCAGCAATAAATCTGCGCATCAGATATGTATTGCACGCCCCAAACCTATTGCAACCTGACAACTCTATGGCACCAAATCCATTGCACCACCCTCCTTTCGCTGGACCCCCTTTTGGGACAACCAAGAAAGAGGAGGACCCTACAGGAACCCTTTAGGGCCTCTGCTGGCTCCAAAAAAAAACCCTACAGGCCTCCTGTCGGTCACCCCCCGGGACCGCCCGCCCGAGATTGGTACCCCACCCGTTGCCATCCGCCCGGCTGTCGTGGCACCCCTCGCGCCCCCAGGGGCGGAGCGCTGCCTCTGCCCGCGTGATGTCTCGCTGGGAACTCTGCGCGGCATCGCCATGGACGGCGCCTCCGGCGGGGGAGGGCAGAGCGAGGAGGGAGGGATGGAGAAGAGGAGGGGAGGCATGGTGGGAGTGGCAAGCCCAATGAACTCCGCCGAAGGAACGAGGGAGATGCTCAAGTTAAAAAAGGAAGACGCGGCAACCACTCCCCCTTTCCCACTCCCCAAGGTTCCCATATCGGATTAGAGGGAGGGGGGTTCAGGCTGGACTCGGGGGGGGGGGGTAGGCGAGCTCCCCAAGGCCCCCCCCAGGCTTCCGGAGCCTCGAAAGCCTAAAGATGACCCGAGAGAGCCCAGACAGAGCGTCAGCACAGCCCAAGAGAGAATCGAGACGGCCCAGGGTCGCCTCAAGACGGTCCAAGATGGCTTCGAGAAGGCTCACGCGCCTCCAAGGCGGCCCAAGAGTGCTCCCAGAAGACCACCAGGAGAGCCCAAAGAGGCCAACATTGTCTCATTCCCTTCGGAAAACGTGCATGTTTTAGCACATTCACCAGTTTTCGTTTTGGCATTGTCCAAGGCGGCCCAAGGGGTCCCCAAGATCGTCCCAACAGGGCCCATGGCCTCCAAGGAGGCCCCAAGACAGCCCAACAAGGCCCCACGACGGCCGCAGAGGCCACCCGGAAGGCCCAAGAGAGCTCCGAGAGGGCTCTAAGAGGGGCCCAAGAAGGGGGATACGAATCAACATTTCGAGCCTTTCTCCCCAAGGTGGTCGCAAGAGCCCCTCCGACGCCCCGAGGCGCCCACAAGAGGTCCCAAGAGGCTCCCAAGATGCACCGAAAAAGAACACAGGAGGCCCCAAAAGAAATCCTCCAAAGCCCCCCAGATGCCCCCAAGAGCCCTCAGAGAGACTTTAAAATACATCCACGAAGCGCCTGACCCATTAAATCAATTCCAAGATCGTCGCCAACACTCGCTCCTTTCTGGGGGGTCGGCTGAATGGCGTAAGCCTCTTGAGTACGGAACGCGTGGCTACCCATAAGCCGCGTTGGGTGTCACCGCTCCGGAGGCATGGAGGGAGGGAGGGAGAAAGGGAGGGCGACAAGGGGGAAGGAGAAAGGGGGGTCTGGGGGCAAGAGAGAGAGAGAGAGGTCCGCCGTACTGGTTTCCCTCCTTGCTTTCCCTCTCTCTCTCTCTTTCCCTCTCTCTCCCTCTCCCTCTCTCTCTGTCTGAGGACGGAGATCTTACAAGCCCATTGGGCTGCAGAGTGGTGTGTCAGAAGCTCCCCTCTCTGCAACTCTCGAATCCCCAAGGGGGGGAGCTTACCCCCATCCCCCCACGCCGGGAGACTTCTCGGTGGTCAAGCCACGCCAAGAGGGTGTTTGAGCGCCTTTCAGGAAATCAGAAGAGGGAGGGGGAAACATGTCTACGTAGCTGGCAAGCTGGCGCCACATCGAAATCCTTGTTGGGTGGATCATTGGATGCGAGGGCCATGGAGAACGTCGAACAACTCTTTCGAAGCTCTTTTGGGATGCTGTTTGAACCCTGTTGGGGCTAAATTTTGGCTCTCTTGGGCATCAGCGCATGGCTACCCAGGATGATTGTTCTGTATGCGAAGCCTTTGGTAAGCCTCTTGTGGTCTCCTGGGAGATGCTTTTGGCGAACTATGGAAGGCTTCTTGACGGGGATGCGGAGTTGCATATCGGGGGCCTCTCGGGGCCTCCTGGGGGGCGTGCTCAAGGCCTAATGGGAGATCATGGAGCCGTCTGGGGATGTGAGAAGCTGGGCTGTTGATATTTTCCGAGATTTGGAAGGTCTAGCTCGTCGAGAGCGAAAAGTTGGAAGGTCTAGCTCGTCGAGAGCGTAAATGCGAGAAGGCACGCTTCAGTGATCATCCTTATGCCTTCCAAAAAGTTGGACATCTCGGGTGCCCTTTTGGCGCGTCTTGGGGCCATCGTGCACCAATCTGGAGGCCATCTTAGCGTGTCTTGTCAGGTCTTGCCTCGTCTTGTCTCACCCGGCCTTGCCTTGGTCTCGTCTTGCCCGGTCGTCTTGGAATCACCTTCGAAGCGCACTGGGCTGCCTTCTTGGCCGTGACGCACCGACCTTGGACTGTCGTCAACCGGAGGGTTCCGCCCGCCTTGGACTGGACGTGGCTGGCAATCGTGGCGTGGAATCCGCGCTCGCTTGGGTTCCGTGGGGGTGCCACTTTTTGGGCTCTCGCGCAGCCTCTCTGAAGCCTTTGGAGTCTTCCTGGGGTTGGTTCTGGGTCCTGTTGGTCGCCATGGGCGCTTGAAGCCATATGCCTGTCTTGGGGCTTTCTTGGAACTCCCCCCATCCTGGACCCATCTTCGGCTCTCTTGAGGCCAGCTTGAAGGCTCGATGGCCCATCGGAAGAGAAGCAGAGTCAATGCTGAAACCGTATACGAAACAATCAAAACTGACGACGTGTGGTCTCTCCGTGTCTTCCCGGGAAGGCTCCTTAGCCAACTCGGGCCATCTTGTGGCGGTCTGGACGCCTCTTGAAAGCAATCTCGGATTATGGTTAAGTCGGGCATGTCCCCCTACGGGCGGGCGGATCTTGGACGACAAATAAAACATACGCAAACAATACCCCCAATTGATAAAACAAATGATCGTAAAATCGCCCCCAGAGACTATTGTTCGACGCTTACACGTCGGTCGGAAGAAGTAGGTAAAAACATGAAGTAGGACTGCGGATTAAGTTGACTGGGTCCAGGCCCCCCAACGGAATAACAAAACACAGCACAAAAGCGTGTCGATTCTTGAAATGGGAAGGCGCTTGAAGTAAATTGGGATTTGGGATATCCCAAACTACCTACTTTCAACGACCGGCGTATATTGAGCATCCCCCTGTGGAGGGACAGGCCCGACTCAAAGATTGTGGTGTATCGTCTGGGTGGCTATCCTCTAGGGCTCCCAACTTCGCGCTTCGCGCTCCGCGAAGCGCGAATAACTTGGCGCTCTCGCGCCGTCCCTCCCAAAGGGAGAAAAGGAGGACGAGGAGGAGGGGGAGCAGGAACGAGGACCGCGAAGCGCGAATAACTTCGCGCCCTCGTGGGAGCCCTTGTGTCCTGGGAGGGCGCCTCGCCGCTCGCCCTGCCGAGGCCAGCGCGGGGGCGCGCCGCGTCGGCCCCGCGGCCGGCGGGCTGCCTGGAGCGCTTGACCCCCGCCGCGACGACGACGACGACGACGACGACGACGACGACGACGACGACGACGGCGACGGCGACGGCGACGGCGACGGCGACGGCGACGGCGGCGGCGGCGATGGGCGGCGGCTTGTCGGGGGTTGTCGGCTGGCGGGTGGACCCGGACTGTGACCTGCAAAATGCGGCGCGGTGGCCGCCCCCGGCCAGACGCGGAGACGAGAACGGGGCACCTGTGAACCTTCCGGGGGGCGTCGGCTAGCTGGTGGACGGGACTGTGGCCTGCAGTGCGGCGCGGTGGCCGCCCCTGGCCAGACGAGGAGACAAGCACGAGGCACCTCTGAACCTTCCGGGGGGCGTCGGCTAGCTGGTGGACCGGCCTGTGGCCTGCAATCCGGCGCGGTGGCCGCCCCTGGCCAGACGCGGAGGCAAGGACGAGGAACCTATGATAGTCCTGGTTGGGCGGAGCCTCCGATATGGAAGGGCGCGGACCTCGTGGGACTCGACTGAGACTCTTTGAGGGTCCTTCGGAGGCCTTGCTGGGGTTCAGTTCGGGCCCTTTTGAAGCTCTGTTGGGGTTTCGCAGGGCCTGAGGGGCCCTGGACATCTTGCGGGATTGAGGCCCGCCTGGCGTCCGCCACTGGGACCTTCGGTGAAGCTCCCTCTGGGGCCAGGAAGCGCTGTACTGGGTGTGGGAGACGCATGCGGGGGGTGCGCCACTGGGACCCTAGATGGAGTTCCCTAGGGGGCCACGAAACGCTGTACTGGGTTTGGGAGACGCATACGGGCTGCGCTGCTGAGACCTTAGATGGAGCTCCCTAGGGGGCCACGAAGCGCTGTGCTGGGTGGGGGGAGACGCATGCGGGCTGCGCCACTGGGACCTTCGGTGGAACTCCGTATGGGGTCACGAAACGCTGTACTGGGTGTGGGAGTGCGCCACTGGGACCTTCGGTGGAGATCCCTATGGGGCCACGAAGCGCTGTACTGTGTGGGGGGGGGAGACGCATGCGGGCTGCGCCACTGGGACCTTCGGTGGAGCTCCCTCTGGGGCCAGGAAGCGCTGTACTGGGTGTGGGAGACGCATGCGGGGTGCGCCACTGGGACCTTCGGTGGAACTCCCCATCGGGCCACGAAACGTTGTACTGGGTGGGGGGAGACGAATGCGGGCTGCGCCACTGGGACCTTCGGTGAAACTCCCTATCGGGCCGCGAAGCGCTGTAGTGTGTGGGGGGAGACGCATGCGGGCTGCGCCAGTGGGACCTTAGGTGAACATGATGCTGATGATGCTGCTGCTGATGATGATGGTGATACTGATGGTGCTGATGATGATGCTTATGACCATGATTATGGTTATGGTTATTACGATTATGATGATGCTGCTGATGATGATGATGATGGTGATGGTGATGATGATGATGATGATGATAATGATGATGACGATGATGACGATGACGATGACGATGACGATGACGATGACGATGATGATGATGATGATGATGATGATGATGATGATGATGATGATGATGATGATGATGATGGTGAGAGGAGGGAGTAGGGGGAGGAGGAGGAGGAAGGAACGTGGGGCGCTCTTCAAAACGAGGACCCAACACCACAAGATGGATGGGAACAGATGTGGTCATGTTGGCCTTTTCGGGATCTTAGGTCCTCATGTGGTCATTGTCTCGCCGAATCATACGTAGCAGGTTCGCATATCGATGCGAACCGTACGATTTTCTCATGGAAACGACGAACAAATTAAATTTGGGGAAAATTAATATGTAGTCGATCCCCGACTCAAAATGCCGGCCAACTGCAGCCATCCACAGCCCCACCAGGGCGCCGCTGGCCCCACTGGCCGACCTGCCCCTCTGCTGGTGTGGGTGAGCGCCGCCTCCTCAGGGTTTCTCGGCACCCGTCCCCAACTGGAGGGGGTGCGCTGGGAGTGGGGGTGGGGATGGTTCTGACGACGATGAAATCCGCCGACCCTGTCGGCGTGTGAAAGAGGCTCTTTCATTCGTCGTCGTTTCATTTGTCGTCTCCTCGTCATCGTGGTCGACGCCGCCATTCCAAGCTTTCTCCTGGGTCCCCTTCTCCAACGTGCCAGCCGTTCCCTCCCTTACCCTGGGCCTGTTCAAGCGTGCTAGCCAAAACGACAATAACAAACGTCGAAATTCACTCGAAGAGAAACCCGTTCCCTTGATCTCTCCCCGCTGGGCGGTCCCCGGGGGTGTCCCGGGTCAGAATGCCATTCCTGGGGGGGTCCCGGGGCGGGTCCTGGATCAGATTCAACTCCCCCCCCCGGGCATCCTGGGGGCCCCTGCAAAATCCACAGACATGCCACAAGTGCTCGAAGTGGCTCCCAAGACGGTCAAGAAGGCCCCAAATCGCCAAACGATCTGTCCAAGACGCCTTGACGGCCTCCAGACGGCCCAAGAGCCCTGCAAGACGCCCCAAGAGGCCTCCAGGAGCACTCCCAAGAGGAGAAATCATTCATGTCCGATTGGTTTTGAAACATTTCGGGGTTCCCGCCTCTTCCGCTCCCCGGCGCTCCAAGACGGCCCAGAAGGCTTCCCAGATCGCCCCATGACGGCCCAAGAGGGCTCCAGGAGGGACCCAAAACGGCCCCAGAGGGCCCCAAGACGGCTCAAGACGCTTCCAAGACGGCCAAAGAGGCTCCCAAGACGACTCTATGAGGGCGCCCAGACGAGCCCTCGGCCCCGAGAGGCTCCCAGGAGGAACCGAGAGGCCCCCAAGAGGCCCCCCCCCCAAAAGGCCCCAAGAGGCACCCAAGAGGCACCCAGGAAGCCCCGAGAGGCCCCCAAGAGGCTCCCAAAAGGCCCCCAAGAGGCTCCCAAGGGGCCCCCAAACTGCTCCTTGGAGGCCCCCGAGAGCGCTTCGAAGAGACCCCAAGAAGTATCCATGAGGACTCTGAACCACGTCAGCGCTGTCGTCGCCACCGCCGCCGTGGGCGTCGTTTCCCTTCAGAGTCCGCGGCGCTGGCCGTAAGGCCTTCGCAATATTGTTCCTCCTCCTCCTCCTCCTCCTCCTCGATTGCGGCGGGGGGGGGGGGCACGGATCTCGCCCTGGAACTGCGCAATCTGCGCGCGCAGGGCCTCGCGGGCGGCGCGCCCGGAGGGGGGGATAGTATGTATGTGTTTGATGTGTCTATGTGACTTGTTCTCTCTCTCTCTCCCTCTCCCTCTTGCTCCCTCTTTTCCTGATTCTCCCGCGCCCGCTACCACGTGACAGGCTGGGAGAATGGCGAGGAAGAGGGAGGAGGGGGATGTGGCGGTGGCAAGGAAAAGATGTCATGGGCCCACGCCCTGCCGACTCCTCGGGGGGCCCGGTCGCTGGCTGTTCGCTTACTCTGCCGATCTCTGTTGTGTTGCCTTTAATCACTAGCTGTGAGTACGTGAGTTGGGCCTGCTTGCAGGTGTATACCACATTCACTAGCAGCTTATATGAAGCTGTCTCACCGCCTACGGTTTACTTTCCTCCAACGCGGTGACCCGGTCTTGCGCGCATCGTGGCACATTGCTCTCTTGTGGCTTGCAATCTGCTAGGTGCAGTATGCTTGACTGTGTGTAGTTTGCCTGTAGCTGACCTTTACCTTGTTGTCAACTTACCGAACCATATGTTGGCTGTTGTGGGATGTGACGCTGCCTTGGAAAATGCGTGACGGCCCTACCGTACCGGCCCATGCCGTACCGCGCCACCCGCCGCGGCAACCGCACTGGACGATATCGTACCGGCCGCGGCCACCGTAGTGGAGGATACCGTACCGACCGTGTCTACCGTACCAGACGATACCGTACCGGCCGCGTCTACCGTACTGGACAATACCGTGCCGTGCCGCACACTGTAGCCCAAGCAGGATCTAGCAGGAGGAGGAGCGACCCGCGTTCAGGGGGGGGGAGAGGGAGGTCCACGTCCGCAAGAGAGCAGGCACGCGCGCAGGGCGCGCGCGCGGGGCCCACCTTGGTGATGGGCACATACTTCATGGGCGTCCCGCACCGGCTCTGGCCAGTGCTTCGGCAACCCTCGATCGACGAACCTGGGTTCTGATGCGAGCACGAATGAGACCTACCGAATGCACAGGCGAGGGGGCGGAGCAAGAGGACCGAAGAGACTGAAAGGCCGAGTGAATACAGTCAATGGCCAAGCGTGCTGACAGAAACTCATCACGATTCGGGGGGAGGAGGTGGGGGAGGAAGGACGCATATGGGTCAACTCCATATTCTTCTGGGAGAAGCCGATATCCTTGTTTCACAACACCAATAACAATAGGGCATGCCATGCAATGCAATAAATCATCCCCGCCCATTGCTTGGCACCCGAACCGACACCCAATAGCGCCACTGCGATAACGTCTGGTCGTATTCCAAGAGTTAAAGATTGTTTTTAGGCAGGCAGTGGCGACAAATCCAGGGAGTTTCGTACCCAGACTATACAAGCGCAGGAAGGCTCGATCAGCATACTCCATGGGGCAGTGGGGGATCCACTTCGCAATCCGAGGGAAAAGGATAGAGGCGATCGGCGGCATGGGGATGGAGGGTGCCAGCGGCTTAGATATATAGGCTTGTACTCTATTAGCAGGAATATCACCTGACTGGGGATGGATACGATACAAGCTCTCATAAGCTTCCTTCATCTGCATGAATATCGAGTGCTGGGTCATGATCTTGAAACGCCATGCCACACAGCACTCATCAGACTCAGGCCAAAGATCTAGCAGCCTGGAATGGAAATGGTAGCACGTGCTACGGGTCGCGGTACGAATCGTACAGGCACATGCAAATACTTCAAGCCTCCTGGCTTCCACTTGGTGCCCAAGCATTTTCAGGTTGAACAAGGACATCGGAGGAAACCTGTGTCTGGGGGACACGTCAGTAATTGAAGACCATCTTTTTCCACCGACCGTGCTCTGGGAGGAGGAACATGCACCTGTGCAGCGTGGGCAACGACGGGCAGCCCGTACAGGTTGTACGCTGCAACACTACTGGAGAGCCCTAGGCCCAGGGACTTGATCCTCAAACACCGTTCTTTCAGCTTGGACAGGACGGGGTCCCAAGATTTTTTCTCACCGCCAATGCCCACTCCCACGCCAAGATACCACCCACATCTGGAAACCACAAAGCGATGAACCTTAACCCCTGCCCCCCTACATATGGACATCGCCTGCGCGCACGTTGCCGCGTCGGGGAAGACGAGCTGGCACTTCTTAAGGCCCAGAGACAGACCAGCAGCCCTCCCACTTTGTACCATACTCTTAAAGATACGCGGCAACACCTCCACCAGATCGGATGCTGTCGCAGCAAGGACATCGGCGAATACATTAAACGTGACAGCATCCTGAAGCGAGACACGTTGCAGCCGTCGCACCACAGGGTCAAAACAGAGACTAAATAGTAGACCACTGAGCGGGCGCCCCTGTTTAACACCACGACAAAGATGGATGTACTATGGATCAGAGTTACTGAACTGGACGACCATTCCACTATTCTCATATAAAGCCATAGTACTGTTAATAATAAATTCAGGAATACCATATGCACGAAGAATCGCCCATATACAACTATGATTAATGCTCGGGAAGGCAGCCTTCAAGTCGAACATGGCAGCTCCTGCTCGACGGCAGTCACAAACAGAGTGCGCGAGCATCAGGTCGGCGTCTACCTCTAGTATGTTGTCAATCATCTGCCGGCCTCTAAGGAAACCTTTCTGAGCACCCAGGACCAGGTCATTAGCAACCATGGAGAGGGTCCAACCAATGCTTGCACTCACTAGTTTGTTGTCCGTATTCGAAAGCGAAAGCGGCCTAGTTTCCTGAGCACTACGGGTGATGATTTCACCCTCTTGCATGTTTCCCTTCGGTAGGAAAGCTGCCGCACTGTCGTTAAAGCCGGGCGGCAAAGACTGGTTGTCGACCAGCTCGCGATAGACTGCATATAGGCAACCCACGCCAATCTCCCCAGAGGCTCTCCACGCAGAGTAGGCAATACCATCTGGCCCAGGGCGCGAATCAGTTTTTTAGTCCAGGATCTCTTCAAAAACGACCCCAGGAATAATCAAAGGATAAATCGAGCCAGAGGCAGAGACACACTGATGTGGGTCGTCAGGAATCGGCGTAATCATTGACGAAAGCGAGTCAATCATCTGCCTATCCACCTCGCGCACACTAAAGATCCCGTTCCAGTGGTCGGCCAATAGGCGGGAGCGTTCGTTTGGATCGCTGTGGGCCATGCCGTCAGCATCCGTCACCTGCCGGGGAAAAATCTGGCGACCAGATCTCCTCCAGGCCTGACAAAGCCGACGGATGCGAGCAAGAGCTTGCGCGGCACGGGCTCCACCACCGCCCCGGTTGGCCTCCGCGCGAGCAGAGACTTCGCGGGCACGAGGGTTCTGGCGCATCAGGTCGGCAAAAAGCACGTCGAATCCTGGGCGGTCAGTCCGCCACAGCTCCTGGGGATCAAGATACCTGCAGAGATCGGAAAAACCCATGGAGGCCCTTAGAGATCTTACGGAGGTCACCACCCCGAGCGCCCCTAATCACACTTAACATACACGCAAGCTTCTCTTCAACAGATCTGGCCCCCTTTTCAAACGCCCAGTCCTTGACGCGCTGCGCGACGTATCTCATAGCCTCTTTACTTTCCAGCAGACGGGTAGCTGGTGCCTCCGAGAGCGCCTCGGGATCGAGAATCTCCTGGAACTTGATGCTGAACTGAAAGTGTTTGCTAACCCGGCTAGGAATCCTGGTAGCACCCGAGGGGGTCCAAGAGGCAACCGAAAGAAATACAGGACAGTGGTCTGAGGGGGCCTTGATGTCCGTAATTGGCCAGTACGTCCCCGTGCGCGGGCACAGATCTAATATATCTTGAGACGCCAAAGTCGTATAGATACGGTCCAGTCGTGCAAACGATACCTGGGAAGAAGGTCCTTCAGCGCCCCCCAAGCGCCGAATGATCCTGTGCGTGTCCCTCTCTTGAACAACCTCTCCCAGCTGGCCAAGTGCCGCGAGAAAATGGCTGGCTAGCCGCGAGCCAACTGGGCCATCCAGGCCAGTATCTGCGTGGAGCCGCGATTCCCCTGTTGCCATAAAATTCCAACCTCCCAAGACGAAACCGAGCGAGAGCATGGAGGGAAGAAGAACACGTTGGATGCGAGCGAACATCCCCCTGACCTCCTATTCCTGCCAATCAGGGACAACATGCACATTGTTTATCTGGAGACTCCCATGCGGACCTTGGAGAAGGAGAGAGGCAATGCGACCGGCACAGAGCGGCTCGAGCTGCAACGAGGTAAACTTTGCCAGCAGACGTCGCGAGACGAAGAACAGTAGGCCACCAGCAGACGCGGTCGCGCAAAAGGAACCGAACGGCTTATGGGACTTGTAATCTTTTTCTAACTGATCAAGGTCTGCTTCTACACCATGGGACTCCTGAGTGCACACCACCTCGTTTTTGTCGTGCAGTGTTCTCAGACGTCTGAACTTCTCCCGAATGGCATTTCGGCACGTGAATGCCGATCCCAGAAGAGTCCGAACGTTCCAGGTGCACGCGCTGAGCCGTTGACCCACTTCGAAAGGACGAGAGAGGGGAGGGGGAGAGGGGAACTGACGGCCTGGCAAAGACGACTGACTGCTGCTGTCACTGCTGCTGCTGCTATCCGAATTATCAGATGACCAAACGAGGCTGAAAAGCAGAACTGCTGGTCTCACCGGGCGACCCCTTCCGCCTCATTTAGACCACCGTGCTCTGCGTCCCTATGGTCACCACGATGATGCCCTTGTTGTGCAACTCAGAGCTGCGCTCGCACCTGCTCTATGATGGCGGATGCCTTCTCAGCGCTGACACCCCGCTCTGCGAGCTCCTCATGGATCGGGATGAACTCCACATCCGCCTTCGATTTGTCATTCGCAGCGACAATCTCCCATGCGTCGTCCTCATCACGTACAAGGAGGACCCCTTTGAATCCATTCGCTCCCAGGCGGCAAGTGGGCCCCCACTTGGGACTCTTCCTCAAGTCCGACAAGAAGGGCTCGTAGATGCCGTTGAACGCTCTCTGCCGCATTCCCACATCCACTGGTAAATCAGCACGACAGCGAATCGAT